AAATACATAGCTATTCTCATTCAGTGCTGCCCTCTATTTGCAAAAATGTTTTTGCATGCCACAAGCCTTTCATTCCCACGCACCCCTCGATTCACAAGGTTTAACTGATTCTTGTATGCAAATTATCATGCAATAAATCTCCACCAATAGAAGTGCCACACACCCATGTGACTTCCAATTTGCTATTCTACTTAACTATCACTTCGAGTTTAGGTAGAAACTTAAGCACCTGTTGACAGTCGGGAGTGTGAGTGTAAGTGGAAATAAGTACCTGTTGGAAATACATTTCCAGTATAGAAAAATTATAAATTCCGACAAGGTACCTTATTTCCGCTCAACTACATAGATAGAAACCCAAACTGAATAGGTGGAGGAATCAGTGGAAGGGAGAAAGTAGAAGCATCCTTCGAAAGTGTTCGAGGAAACCCTAATAAGGGAACCCTCTAATAAGAAGTTTATACATGGGAGACCACACCACTTCTGTATCCGGTATACTCTTTGCCTAGATGTTGAAAAAGTGTGGAAGATCTGGGTGGAAAATTGTTAGGAGCACATACATTTTTGTTGTTAATCGATTATAGAAAGTCATTGACAGTTTCTGTATTATCTCTCATTATTAGCAGTAAGTTTTTTGTTAATTGTGCAGGTGGACAGTGATCTGAACCACAACATATAATAAATAAAATCTCCGTGATGAACAGAATGTGGGTAAATTATGGGATGTGCCCCAAGGTGTAGAGTGGCTAGGGCATGACAGCCCATACAGGGCAAGTCAACTGCATCCAAAACTACAACTACCGGGAACCAACATCCATGCAAGGGTAAGAAAGAGGATCATCCCATCTCCACCTCAATTTCAGCCGACCCTCCACCGATCTGTGAACAGGGCGCATGTGAGCAGAGTGATATATATATATATATATACATATCTAACTGGGAACCCAGACTCCAGACAAACAGAAGCAAGAGAGATGTCCCCAAATGCAGTAACATCCTCAGCATAAAGACATTGATGGGTAGCATAAGAAGAAGTGGAGCAAGGACTTGTGTTGATTGGTTCAGCTATAATCCAAAACTCAACCACTGGGAACTGACTTCACTGCAGGGGTAGGACGAAGGATCCCAATTGAAGGGGTGAACTGCATTTATGCCAGCACACTACATGTGTGAGTACAACCAACATCTATGCATCTGCTTATACAACATTAAATAACAGTTATTAGTTTCTAAAAAAATGGGCAGAGGAGCTTTTGCTCATCTAGATTCAAAACTGTTTATACAACATGAAATAATACACTTATTCCTGAGAAATGGACTGCCTCTATATCGATAGCTACTTATACAGAGTAAAAAATACAATTATTAATTTGAGGAATAAATAGGTTGGGGAGGTACATAGTCCATGGACCCCTCCCCTAGATATGCTACTGTTCATACACCATTAAAGAATATGATTACCCAATTATAATTTATAGATATAACACAATGTAAAAAAACAGTAAATTTACACTTTACTTAACACTTATGTAGCCATAGTTCATGGTGTGTGCTGCCAGCCAGTTGCCTTTCATCTAGTCAGCAGTTCAAAAACTAGTGACAGTAGCAGATAGCCTTAGTAGCTCTGGAATAACAAAGATAGGCCAAGCATGTTTAGTAGAAATGGGAATTGAACAGGAGACTTCAAATCATGAGGTACCCACTCCCCTCCCCAATTATGTAGCTTTGAGCTTAACAAAAATAGCAATATTTTGATTACTTGGATAGTTAAAATAACCAAAAACAGTAAATAATCAGAAACCCTAGTTTTGATTAGTTGATTATTTTCATAACAATTGAATCATAATTTTGATTAATCGATTGTTGGAATGACCAAAAACAGTAATAATTGGAACAACCAATTTCAATTAGTTAATTATTTTCATGAAAATCAACTTAACCATAATTTTAATCAATCAACCATTGGAATAATCAAAAACATTAATAATCACCAACACTAATTTTGATCACTTGATTATTTTCATAATATTAATAAATTTGTTTATGAGACAAAGCAATATAACTATGCTTACAGGGTAAAGGATGATCTTCTAATAATTTATCAGATTATCTGGGATACAAATAGCATAAAGGCCTCTGCTTTCTTTGCACTATATTCACAAGAAAATAGGATTAGAGGACAAAATGTTCAGGTTTGGAAAAGACAGGTTAGATTCCAGTTACGACAGTTTTATTTTTCATCATGGTGATTGGCTTGTAGAATGCATTCCCCCTTAGCAATACTGAAGACAAAACTTTGCAAGAATTGGTAATTTCTTGATAAATAAATATTAAGTTTTATTTTTTTTCATGAGGGTGGAATGTGATGAGACAAAATAACATAATAAAGCATTCAGCTTATGGACAAGAGACCAGTTAGTCCATTTAAGCTTTCCCATTCATTAAACTAAAGTAAGCATTAAAAAAAAAGCTTTTCCAGCTTTCCCTTAAACTCAACCACATTTCAAGGCAACCCATTTAAAAAGCCAACCACCCTATTAGAAAAACAATAGAGTTTTAGCTCAAAATGACTCCTACTCTGCCAAAATCTATATCTGTATTCCATAGTCCCACCATTCTTACCATTAAGTACAAAAAAACAGATAATACATAAGTACTGTCAATTCCCTTAACATTCTTAAACACCTCAATCAGATTCCTTATAATTTATTTTTCTCAGTAGAAAATTTCAAGAGATCTTAACATGTCCTTGTACAAGATACAACCATTCAATCCCAGATATAATCCTAGAATCCCTTGCCTGAACTCTCTCCAACAAGTCAATGTCCTTCTTAAGATGAAAAGCTCATGAGTGAACAAAATATTCCAAATGTGGACTAACCAATGACCTATTCAATAAAATTATAACCTCTTTAAACTTTATATTCAATATTTCTGTAGATACAACCTAAAATCCTATTTGCTCTACCACTAGCAACAGCACAATGCTTGGATGGTTTAACCATAATGCTAATATCCTTTTCTTTAATCAAAATTATATCTAAAATTTAAATTATTGTTATGACAGCGGAAGTCACGTGATGCTGGTGGCACGTGAAAAATTTCTCGAATGATTATGAATGATCGGGGAGGCCTGCGTGTATTCAAGATGCCCCTTCGTTATTATATAAGCCTGCGGGAATGAAAGAAGAGCGTTCCGGGTAATTTACGATTCTGTTTTGAGCTAGTGTGTGTTTTTGAGATTGTGAATCGCTGTGATTTATAGTGTGTATTATAAAAGTAGTTAAGTTTAAAGTGACGAGAAATGTACTAACTGTGTGTTGAAAGTTTGTATCGAGGAAGAATAAACTGGTTTAACCAAGAAAGGACTTGTATCGCTGAAGTTTCTCGGAAAGAATTTCTACCGGAAATTAACAAACAAGCAGATACATAACATTATGATACATAACATTTATCATACTCAATAGCCATCTGCCATTTGTCTAACTCACAATGTATCTAAATCCTTATGTAAAGCAGCAGCAGAATCCTCACAGTCAACAACACACAAAACCTTAATATCATTGACCATTCTTTCATATATATCAATGATGTAAATAAAAAAGAGCAAAGGCTTTCATTAAGACCCCACATATCACTGAACTCCATTTACAAAAACCCTTTGCTTTCTTCCATTCAGCCATTTTTCTATCTAATGAGCCAACTACTCCTCCCATACCGATAACTTTTCAACAAGATTTTTATATGGCACCTTGTCATATGCTTTCTGAAAATTCAGCTACATCAAATACACTCCCTTACCCTCACCAACATAAACAATAACCTCTTCAAATAATATCATAAAAATATTAGTAAGGTAAGATTTTCTCCTAGTGAAACCACGCTGAGTATATAACAAAATTTTAAACTTTGTTAATTGTATTTGCAAGCTATATTTTCTCAGGCTTTCAAAAACTTTTCCCACCACTGATGTAAGTCTAATAGGCCTATAATTACCTGGACAATTTTTATCACCTTAGCCAACTTCTAATCTTCTGGTACATGCCAACTATTCTAGAACTTACAAAAAAAATATTAGCAATGGCTACATGTATCCAATCCTTAACCTCCTTCAAACCATAGGGGAAATATTATCTGGTCCAGGTGCCTTATCATTCTTTAAACTCCCCAATTTTTTCTTAACAAACTCACAATTAATGGCATCATCTTGCCCAATCTTGTTTCCATCTAGCAACTGGTTCCTGTTGTCTGTATGTTATGTTAATTATTTATTTTGGGATGATGGCCAAAAATATCATTAACAGCAACGGTATTAAAATGATGAATTAAAGCATCCAACTTATTATAATTTTCTGTTTTATGATACTGCATACTGCTAGTTAGACCAGTATATTCAATTGGCTACAATGTTTACCAAACTAATTTTTAGTTGTGGTCTATGTAGTTTTGATAAGAAGTTATTGAAAAAACAAGATCAATTTAAAGGTATAGCCCTTCACATCCAAATACATTTTCAAAATAAGTTTATAAAAAATTAAATTAACAGCGTACACCACATCATTACACAAACTGTTTTAAAGTATTAAGTATAACTAGAAGAAGAATTTTTTTGAAAAAAAAATACAATTAAGCTTCTAAATTTAAACACATTCATTTTTGGGTCTACAATTTCTTCATTCCACCATATAAACACTCCACTTATAGCTACAGGAAGACTGTCCAAACATGTAACCTTGAACACCTGAATCTAGTCTCTACTAACTCTTATAATACTGGCAGTTACATCATTTGATAAAAAAATTAAAAACCTTTTAGAAGGTTATCATAAGTTAAACTTAAAAGATTTTCAAATTGGTTTTAGAGAATGTTTTTCTTGCAGTTCAAAATCACACGACACATTGTTAAATATCTACATTAATTCTTTATTTTTTTATTTTTTTTTTTGCAATACCTAATATTACTTTGAACATAAAATTTGTATAGGGTAGCCCAAATCATCTCACCTTTAGCTCTTTCAGTAGGATACAATCTTTCAGCTTTTTGTAAATATCTGATAGCTTTTTCGATATTTTTTTCCTTAAGATATTTGAGTGCTAAGTCTATACACTTTTCACTTTCATCTTTATTTCCTTCCATGAATAGAAATATTATTGTTATTTTTTAAAAGCAAAATACACAATAGTTCAACACATAGTAACTTAGCAAATCTATTTTCGTTTTCCTCTGTGACTGTGAGTCGTAAGACTAACATTAACAATGTAGCTTGTGTAAAAGCTTAGTAACTAACCTAACGAATGAGGCAAGGGCTTTTCTGCCTATAAAGATCAAAATGTGAATTTTACTTCAGTGTTATCCGAACTGGTCCAAACAAATTACAGTTAACGTATCAAAGTCTACTGATATATCAAAATAACTTAAACAAACTACGACAATCTTATTATGTAATTATATATATACAACATTAAATAAGTATTTCGAAACGAATTGCACTTTGCAGATTTTATATGACGTATTTACCCTAACACAAATACAGAAGCCAATCTTACAATCTTTTTGCATTATATAATAGAACATATAATTATTATTCTTTACTAACTGTAAAATATTTTTTTTCGTTAGAGAATAAAATATTATTTTTATTCTATTTTATATACTGCAATTAATGTAGATCATTTATTTCTATGACGTCATCTAATAATCATTTGCAGAATGGCTGAAAAGCGTCGCTGTCGAATGGCGAGACTTCAGTTGAGTTAATCATATCTGGTAGTGAGTGAGATAAAGCTGCTTTAAACAAATAATCATGGTAACTTGTACTTCATGCTCATTCATTAAATTAAAAAAAATATTTCAGTATTTAACACAAAACCGGTGAAATTGTGATAAACGAATACGGTATATATTTATTTTTTTCTTTATTCTGTAGGCTGGAGGAAAAGCGGGAAAAGATTCTGGAAAAGCCAAAGCTAAAGCTGTTTCTCGTTCAGCAAGAGCAGGTTTGCAGGTAGGAGAATTAAAATCTTTTAACTTTTTAGTTTCGGATCAGCCAAAAAAAGTTTAATGTCAAAAACAGAAAACCGTTTCAATTATACTTATAGGCATAAGTTTTCGTACTTAAACAGTCTGCCTAGGCCTATATTTACAGGAAATGTACTGTTTTAACGTCTCAATAGATAACAGCCGCGTTTTTAACATGATCAAGTTCAAATTCAATGCCAATGGAAAAACTTGAGTCTATACTAGTCTAACTTTGTATTGCATCAAAATGAAAACATTTGTTAAGTTACAGTAATAAATGTATTTATTACTAAACAGTGCAGACAGAAAACGGCAAAAACAGTTAAGTCGTAGAAAGGGCTGCCTTTATCGAAATTCTACCATATCTAAGAATGTAACACTAACTGTAAGTTGTAACTTAGTGTAAGGTATGATGTTGATAGCTGCTGTGGCTGAAACTCTCAAAATGTAATAAGTCAATAAAATCTGAATGTCTAACTTATCATTACTGAATTATTGTCTAGCTCAATGTAACCTAGTACCATTGTATTTTTAAATTAAATTACAAAACTTAAGCAGTGTTTCTTTGTGATTTTAGATTTGTTAATATTTTTGTTTCAGTGTTTAAATAAACTTAGTAATACTGATGGTTGTTTGGAAATTATATTAGTTTACCCAAAGAATGTGTATTATATCTTTGTTTCAGTGTTTAAAGTAAAATTGTAAATGGAAATAGTGATGATTGTTTGAAAATTAAATTAGTTTACCCAAAATACTTGCATGTTGAATTTCTGTATCACAAACTGATCTTCAATCTAAAACTGAAGCAGAATTGTTTGGTAATAAATAATACATTGATACACACATCCAAGTACTTTAATGTGTTTTTTTAACATTTATTACACTGATGTTTTCATCAGGACTCTTCTGCTTATTCATAATTGAGAGAGGAGATCTATTAACCTCTTATATTAAGAATACAAGTAACAAAGCAGTTGAGCATAGCCATTGGTAACTAACATTGTTACATTATTTCATCTTAAACATTACGTGACAAAAGCCCATATGTACGTGTTTTTGCTTATAATTGCCAAACTGTTCGACTGATTGTCATAAATCTTAGCATATACCCTTAGGCTCCCTGGAGAGTGATATAGTGAAGTTGATGTTTAGATGTGATTCCTCTGTTTTTTCCTAAGCAATAATGAAACAATCTATGCATTAGGCTTGTGATATTTTAAATCTTATTCTACCATTTTCTGCAGTGAATTTTCCTGTTGGAAACTTAATATATTAATTTCCAGTTTCCAGTTGGTAGGATTCACCGCCATCTTAAGAGCAGGACAACCAGTCATGGACGTGTAGGAGCCACTGCTGCAGTTTATAGTGCGGCCATCCTTGAATACTTGACAGCAGAGGTCTGTTCACTAGTTCTTTTCTTTTGGTGATTAAGTCAGTTTGCCTTCAGAAGGTTAAGATACTAATGTTTTTAGGATATGATGTTACTTGGACTATGTGCATATAACATTTTTCTAGAGTATTAAACTAAGCAAAACTCCTGAATAAGAGTTAATTTTTAGTATTTTGTCAGTCTATAATAGTGGTTTCCAACCTTGTAATGTTACATAACCTCATTCAACATTTGAGCCAGTAGTGTACCCCTGATGCACACAATTTGTCAAACGTAAGACTGATTTATATTAATAGAAAAATAAGTAAAAAAAATAATAATTCAAAAATGAGCTAATACATGAACACTGAGTGCTTGCTAATGTAATACAATCATAACTCACCAAGTACTGCCCTCTAACTTTGAAGCATGGTGTCTAATGGTCTAGATGATTTTCACATTTTAGCCCCTTCGAAACAAAATACAGTTGCAAAGACAAGAATGATTGTTTTTTCAGAATGATTTTCATTAACATAAGTTTAAGATCTAGACATGTATAATTTCTGTATTGGAATTTATGAATTTTTATGTATTTTTTGTACATGGTTTGTTAAAATATTAGTTGTATAGGTATGTAATCCTCAAAGTTAAAGGATGTACTTAGTACTTCAGTGGATTAAATTTATTGAGGATGAGGGGTGATCTCTTCCTTGACTTCTAATATTGTTAATCCTATGTGCATGTTTGGGGATCAAAGTGTGCATATCACAATCTTTTACAAAGTGCCAATCAACAAGGTATTATGTATTCATTGTCATTGTTATCAACTATTTATTTTACCCTACATTTCTGATTTCACAACATTTCATGTTTGAGAAAATACCTAATACCATGAACGGGAATACTGAAAAACTGTAGATATGCATTTTGGAGACTCTAGAGGTTGTGCAAATGCAATTTGCAAACTGTTCAATGTACAAAAGTATATTTATTCTTCACATATACATCACCTTTTACTCCTATTTGTCAGAATCAGACTGATGTTGGCAATTCACAGACATATCTTGAATACAAATATGTTTGTAACACATCTGATTTTTTGCATACAACAGACTTGTGCATTTGTGAAAGTTTGCCTAATTTTGTCTATATGCGAGTAGTAAATTTGGAATTATAGTCAATATTCCTTCTCCAATACATGGTCAGTTCAATGGATCAACCTAAGGCATGTTTGGTTAAATGATTCATTACTATCCATATTTTATTTTTTAAATAATACTAATGAATTATTTGATTTTATTCAAACTTAGATAAGCAGGATAGCCATATTATCATTTAATCCTTCCAGCACTCCAAACATCTTTGGCAGAAGTAAAAAAAAATCTTGCATAGTACACACAGTGTAGTAATTTTTTCATATGAGCAGAATGGGTTGCATAGCATATGCACAATTTTTCTTTCATGTGACTTCCATGTTGTGGGTTGATCTTTAGTTCTGATCTATGTACACAGTGTGGTCACAAGTAAATAGACACCACTATTTCAGAAAAAGTGAAAATTTTCAGTCATATTCACATGAATTGATA